TAGTGAGTTTAATAGGGGCCGTATAGTGGGACTTCGGGAAGCTGGACTTTCTTTTCGGGCAATTGCAGTTAGAGTGCAAAGAAGTGTAGCACTGTGGTTAGGTGTTGTCAGGCATGGCTTGGAGAAGGCCGTACGCAAAGAGCAAGGGGCACTGGACGCCGCCGTAGAACAACAGACCGTGAAGATCGCCGCCTAAGATTATTGGCCTTAAGGGACCGTTTCTCCACTACCAGGTCAATTGCAAATGAATGGTTTGCAGAACACGGAAGACCTATTGGCATGCGAAGTATTTACCGACGAATGAGAAGTTTTGGCTTGTTTTCATACCGGCCACACTTGGTCCTCCCTTTAACTCGAGAACACCGACGTAATCGCCTTGAGTGGTGCAGACAACGGTCACTCTGGGATCAGGAATGGAACAGTATTGTCTTTAGTGACGAGTCTCGATTTTGTTTAGGCATGCACGATGGTCGTGCCAGGGTTAGAAGGCGACGTGGTGAAAGGAGGAATCCACAGTTTTTTGTTGAAAGACATGTTCATCACACTGTTGGAGTTATGGTTTGGGGTGCTATAGCTTATGGTTCCAGGTCACCTTTAATCTTCATCAGAGGTAACATGAACACGCAGCGTTATATCCACGAAGTTCTAGAACCCCATCTTTTACCCTATCTTGACACCCTGGCAGATCCAACTTTCCAACAAGATAATGCCCCACCACATGTTGCAAGAGTCACAATAGACTTCTTTCAACATAATGATGTCACATTGTTACCATGGCCACCAAGATCTCCCGACTTATCCCCAATTGAGCACGTGTGGGATATGATGGGTAGGAGATTGCTCAATTTGCAACGTCCTCCTCAGACTCTAGAAGCACTTCGAGAGGAGTTGGTGGTTGCCTGGAATGAGATACCACAGGAGGACATTGACCACCTGATCAGAAGCATGCCTTGGCGCGTTGGAGAATGCGTAGCACATCAGGGTGCATCCACACATTATTAAAGGTCAAAGGGCTTTAAAGCAGTGCAATCATTTTGAAATTTTTATCATTTGCTTATTATGCTTCATTAAGTACTACTAACCACATTGTATACACTTCTTTGCACTCTAACTGCAATTGCCCGAAAAGAAAGTCCAGCTTCCCGAAGTCCCACTATACGGCCCCTATCAAACTGACTAAGTTGACGAAATCGTACAGGTCTCCCTACTCTAGGCATCGTAACCGATCATAAAGGATGTCAAGAACCAAAATCCGCCAACGTTGATTCTTTACTGCGGCTGAAATATTCATTTTTAGAGCGTTAGTGAATTAAAAAAAGCAGTATAAAAACCGGAATGTCCAACTGATAAGGCTGAAATTTTTTTCACTTGTTATTTACAGTAAGATAAATACATTCACCAACTTTTATTAAAATAATACCATTTAAACTGGGTGTTCGGATTTATATGTCACTTAGTATATTTTGATCCCAAAACTGTCTCAGGCGAGTACTTGTAATATGATCATTAAGTCATCGTTGGTTGTCAGAGCGGTCCGTGGGACCTTAGCTCTTGAGTCTCAGTGTCAGTTTGTAAGTCTGTCAGGTCTGGTAACCCAGAAACCAGACAATTTTAAGGAAAAAAGGGGAAGGAAAGGAGAGAAGGAAGAACGAGAGCAAAGGGGAAGAAGAGAATCTTTTAGGATAGGCAGCGTTTAGGCATTGTTAAAATCACTTCACAGATTTTGATATGGTCTAAAAATATTTGATTTTTTCTAAAGATTGTGTAAAAATGCTCCAATTTTGGTTGTTCTAAGTTCACGAGTTAATTTTGATTACAGTGCGAGCCGCGGCCTTTTGTGCTTGCGAACTTGCTCGACTGTGTAGTCCACTGACTCAGGCAACAGAGGGTTGCTGTGCGATTCCGCTAGGCGATAGCGCCGCTGCGCCTGTTGCTTAAGGTAGTCCTTTAGGTAAGGGACATCGAGGTCTCTATGTAGAGTTTCGTTAGAGACATACCATGGGGCATCAGCAATAGTGCGCAACGTCCTGCTTTGCAGAACCTGCAGACTTCGCATATGTGTTTTAGCAATAAAACACCAAGCCGCACATGCGTAAGTCATTGCTGGTCTTATGACCACCTTATAGAGTCGAATCTTGTTAATCAAACTTAATTTTGACCGTTTACATAATAATGGGTAAAGCTGCCGAAACGTAATTTGGAATTTAGTTTTTAGCGCTTCCATATGGTTCCGCCAAGTCATCCCTTTGTCCAGAATGACACCGAGATACTTAGCGGAGGATTCCCATGGTATACGAAGTCCATTCATTGAAACTTCAGACGGAACGCCGCGACGTCTTTTTGTACAGTAGATTGCCTGCGTTTTCGAATGGTTTATTTTAATTAGCCACCGATCCGCCCAATCTAATACTTCTTCCACCGCACTTTACAGCCTGTCATGGACTAGGTCACCAGACCACGACTCAGCCACCAATGCAGTATCGTCAGCATAGAGATAGACTTCACAGTTGCTGGGACTAGGGACGTCATGGATGTACAGTGAGTAAAGGATAGGTCCAAGGACCGAACCCTGAGGGACGCCGGCTGTAATCAGCCGTGTTGTCGACAGCACATTGTCAATTTTGATCCGAAATTTCCTGCCTTCAAGGAAGGATTTCAGTAGTTTTAGAAGCCAAAAAGGGAAGCCCTTTTGGATTAGTTTATACAAGAGGCCCGCGTGCCACACCTTGTCAAATGCTTTTGAGACATCCAAAAGCAAGATGCCAGTACTTTCGTTAAGGGTGAATCCTCTGGTTACACGTTCCACCAGCCTAACCGCATGTAGCTCCGTACTATGTTCAGACCGAAAACCGAATTGCACGTCAGGAATCACATGGTGATCTGACGAGAAATTCTCAAGGTGACGTAGAATCGCCTTTTCAGCGAGCTTAGACGCAGCTGACAGCAGGCTAATGGGACGATAATCCTGGGGAAATATCGAACCCACCTTCTTTGGAATCATTATAACTTCAGCGGTCTTCCACGCGGATGGGAAGTACTGGATCCTTAGCATGGCATTGACTATTGCCACGAGATAAGTTAAGGACTTCCGCGAAAGCAGCTTCAGCGCCTTATTAGTGATTTGATCCTCCCCAGGTGCTTTACGCACTTTAAGGTCTTTAATATAACCTTGAATCTCTGCTGGTGTGCAATGCGGGATCTCAGGAGATACCGCTGATGTGCTAAGCAAATCTTCGGTTGAAGAAGCTTCTGAAGAAGAATCTTCTGATGAAGAAAAATCACCAACGAATGCGCGACTGTCACTGACGCCGTTGGCCCTAAAATATCTCCTGACAGATCTTACGATGTGTTGCTCCTCGTCGAGGTCATTATCAAGATCATAGTTGGGAGAGAACTGTCTTTCCATGGCGTCGGCGAAAACCTCAACCTTCTTCTCTGTACTGAAGACAATGCCTCCAGGACCGTGAATGTGTGGGATTTGTTCACGCTTTCTGTTTTTGAGCGACTTCGCCACCTTCCAGAGAGGAATGCTTGAGTCAAGCATCCCCGCCAGAAAGTCGTTCCATTGCTCATTGCGGAATTCATGAAGAGCATTTCTTACTTCATGAACAAGATTCGTCGCTCTGCGAATGTCATCAGGATGACAAGACCTTTTCGCTTGCTTAATTGCAGCTCTTTTATCATAAATTTTCTGACGAATGTCTGCTGGCAGAAAAGGTCTGCCGTGTCGCTGCACGGGAAGTACAGCTGCACGCTGCAGAGTTTGCTGAACAAAACATGTCCACTCTGCTTGAGCCGCATCTATACCGTTCTCATCTTCTATGATCGGTATATTGGGGAACTTTTTGAGGAGCGACTTGTATAGCTCCCAATCAATGCGTTTCCTTGGAGGGATTTCATTAGCCACTTCCAAAACGACGGGAAGATGATCGCTTGAGATGTCATACATGATTCGAGAAGTGATACTGTAGCTACAGTTTTTGGATAATGCCAAATCAAGAACATCAGGTGCCTGAAGGTGATTAAATGGGTGGTGCGTCTTCTCCTCAGTACTATGTATGAGGTAGCCATTTCGTATCACATGGTTGTGCAGTCGGATCCCACTGGTGGAATTCAACCTGGAATGCCATGCTCGATGTTTGCCACAATAAGTGGACCCGAGTAGTCTAAAAGGAGTTCCAGATCCGCCTCTTGCAGCCTGTTACCACACCTGACATACACCGATGTGATTTTTAACGGCACACCTCGCGTCATATTGACCACCACGGAAGCCGCTTCGATGCTCTGCATGTCAGCGTTTATGCTTCTGTGGTAGTCAATACCGCGTTTCACTAGCACTGCCAAGCCGCCACCCCGTCCAGTCAATCTATCAGCCCGGATAACATCGTAATTCGGGAAAGTTAGACGATCTCCCGGATTAAGTAATGTTTCCTGCAGCAAGGCCACATCTATACTTTCGTCCACAAGAGCTTGATGAAATTCCCGTCTTTTGGGAATGTCCCTTAGACCCAAACAATTCCAAAAAAGAATTTTGATAAATGCAGGCTGTCGACGATTGTACCTAGCCATTTGCAGGAAAGATCGCCTGCAGAGCCTGTGTTGCGCTAATCAGAGGACCTATGATCCGCTGTAAGGACCTTAGCGCGGTTGCCAGGTCCACATTTTGCGTGTTCGCAGAAGATTCCACAGAGGGGGCAGCCGGGTTGCATCCCTAGCTGCATCCGCGTAACTTACATTGCGCCTTTGCGCTATCACTTGCAGATTTTTCTTAGGGGCAAATCTGCAAGTTCGGCTATTCGCTGGATGCCCCCCTCCACAGTTCGCGCACTTTCGTTCCTCTTGTTCTGTTTGAGAGCATAAGTGGGTCATGTGGTCAGAAGCACATTTCAGACATTTAGGTGGTGCAGTGCAGTAAGATTGCGCATGCCCATATTTTTGGCAGCGGTGACACTGCCCGATGACTCTTGAGTTCTTTTGAACTTCGACTCGGATAGCCAAACCTAGCAGCTCGTGTTCGTTGAACAGCTGCTGAGATTTTTCTATCTTGGGCAGTATGACTACCACCAAAGGCATGGGCACGCCGCCACCGCGTTTCAGGCGAATTATGTGCAGGGGGGAATATCCCCTCTGTTGCAACTCTTCCTTGATCTCAATTTCCGAAAGTGTCGCATGTACTCCTCTGATTACAGCATGAATGTTCCTCTCGGAGGGTAGAGGGAAAGTGTGATGGGGCACCTCTTCCTCCCTGAAGAGACGAATAATCCTGCGGTAATCATTCTCGGACTTGGGAATTATCCTGATTCCTGCATCGACGGCAACCGCGCGTTCGAATTTGATGCCCAAAGAAATAAACTTGTGATTTACGCCTCGCCATCTCGAAGCATCGCGAAGAACGATGGGGGTAACACGTACCTTGCGTGGGGGCTGTGCAGTCGTGTCTTCGGGCACCTGAGATGTCGAAGGCGTGGAAGTAACCGATAGATTAGGCACAGGCTGTTTATTCGAGTCACTTGCAGTTGAATGAGACGTTTCAGACTGCGATTTTGGCGGAGGGAGAGGAGGAAAGCCTGTCGTGTCGGTCTTGTTTCGTCGCGTTTTACGGGGCTTAACCTTGGTAAAACTATCAGGGAGTGTATCGTCGTCTGTGGAAAGATCGCTTGAATTATTTAACGGTCTCTTAAGATTGACAGCTTTGTCTTTACTGGGATTTTTGGGAAGTGTTTGGGAAGAATGTGTAATATTTAGATGGGAAGGTACCTGGGTTTTCAGTAGGAGGTCTAATTTAACTGTTAGGTCGGTAATTGTCCGCTGCTGGGCTTCGATGATCATCATCAATCTTTCATTGGTCTTCTTATCATCGTCCTTTTTTGACAGCTCCTGTCGAACCATCTCCAATTCGGCTCTCAACTCCTCTATGGTCTGCTCCTTCGACTCCATCTCCATTGCCATGGTGGAAGCGCCAGTTCCTGACCCCCCTGGGTCAGTTTCCATAGCAAATACCTCGGTTATCTCGCTTTTCGTCTAAAAAACTTTCCGGATTGAAATCACGGGACAGCTGCTATCAGTGCCCTATACAGGGCGATTTTTGTAATATGATGGAGGCGAGTGCAGCAGGTTAAACTGTCACTAAAACTAAAACTAATTGTGACATAATTTTTTTTGCGACCTAGTTGTGTCTTTCCAAATAATCCTAGCTTCAATGCAGGCAAGAACCAGCAATATGTTCGATCGTTTCGCTTGCCTGATTGCACCCCTTATATTCATCTACGTCGTTGGATTTGAGAATATACTTTTCATTGTTTTTTGTTTTTATGACCTTTTCTTGGATGGCACTTATGCACCCCTCCATTGTTAGATGGAGGTATAGTTGTAGTCATCGTTATTGGCGGGGCAAAGTAAGACTACCAGTATCCCTTTATATATCTCCATCTCCCTCATACATACACATGCAGCCTACCCCTGTGTGTGAACGCTTGTTCGGTAAACTCAAAGACATACGTCTTCTATTATGCGTATCCGTCGTTACGTAAGTGTCCTTCAATCAAATTTGTCCGGAAATACGATCAATGGAGAGGCCGTGCTAAATTTATCAGAGTATTTCCAGGAAGAGAAAGCGGTCCCCTGTTACCCACTTCATGCGTACTGGAAACAGTAGCAGATGCGCTGAAGATTATTCTGTACAGTGTTCAGCGAATAAAATCAGAAAATAAGAAAGGTTTGCCCATAGTAGCACCTGGGGAAACTCACAAAATCAAAAAACGCAAGACCGACGATGTAAGTGATGCCGTCAAAACAGAAATTAGGAATACTTTCTACGGTATTAGAAGTAAAGGACAACATATCACGACATCTCCGCTCAATCAGGAGCTTAAAAAAAGGTACATATACAATGCCTCGGATTCAAGTTTAAGGCGTCTATTGAAAGCTTGCAGTTTTTCCTACAAGACAGAAGATAAACGCCGAGAAAAATCAGACATTGTTACCAAACGTATCTATTTTATGAGACATTATATGAATAACCTGAATAGACAAGCCTTTCCACTGCGTTTTCTCAGATGAAACGTGGATATTTGCCAAAGGGTCGTTTAAACCAGTTTGGAAAGATAAAAACGTAAAGAGTTTGAAAAGCGGCCATCAGGGTACCGGCAAGCGGTATGTTGGGACCAAAAACGGTTTTTTAAGAGATACTGCATTGTTATTTGCTACAAAACCAACAAGTGCTATCTACCACGATTCCATGATCAAAGATTCTTTCAAAAAATAGGTATGTGAGAAGCTGATACCAGCGTTACAAGACCCATCTTTAGCAATAATGAATAATGCCTCTTATCATAGTGCCTTAAAAGAAAAAATGCCCAATTCCAGTTGGAGTAAAATTCAATTAAAGCAATGGCTGCAAGACAAGAAGATGCATTTTAATGATGACGCTTTTAAACTCTAGCTTTTAAATCTATGTCGCCTTAATGAACCATCGGCTCCAAGAGGTGTCACAGGCGAAATATTACATGAACATGGACATCAAGTTTTGCAGCTCTCCCCTTACCATCGTCAATACAACCCTATTGAGTTACTCTGGGGAATAGCCAAACAGTACTATTATCGTCATATTGGGAAAGATGGATACGGTGACAAGGAAGTTTTGAAAGTTATGGACGATGCTCTAGCGAAACTGACTCCTACAGTTTGGGCCAAGTGTGTGAAACAAAACCGAGGACTTGATTAAAAACGACTGGCACAAGCATCAAGCGTTTAATAGCAGTAATTTACTTAGTCGTATTTTACTCCAGGAAGAATTGAGCATTTTTATTATTGAAAATGGTTCTTCTAAAGATCTCATAAGCTTGTCACATATCCACATCCAACGTTAAGTGTTCCATCAAGTTAGCAAATAGATGTGTTATTTTGTATTTTATTGTCAATTCCGTATGTATTTTTCATTTCAACTTCAATAAACATCAAATGGCGTGTCATACTCTACCCATCTTTATGTAATAGATTAGAAGATTTTTGAGAATTACGATTAGTAAAAAATTTTGAATCGGTTTCCCTCAGTTAGGAAAATTAATATCCGCCCAAGGTACGGAGTTTCGATCTGTTTACTTATTCCATATGGCGTTGATGACTCAACCGCCAAGAACGGTGACTACAACTGTATTTCTTTTTGAATATGTGAATAGCGATGCCTTTTCAATGTTGTCAGTTCTGAGTTGAAATGGGTAACGACCATTATTATTATTAATATTACTCTACTAAAGGGTTGTCCAATAGGGACGCAGAAAAGTAAACGTCAATTTGCAATAGACGCCATCTTTGTTTTCTGTCACCGACATGTCATTTTGTTAGTTGAATATTTACCATTGATCGCTATGGAGTCGTATTCGATTGAAGACCGCATTAAAGTTATTCAAGAGCACTACAAAAATGGTGCAAAAATAAAAAACACGTTTCGCGCGCTTCGTGAACATTTCGGTCGCAACAACCGCCTAAACGAAACAACCATTGGTCGTCTGGTGCGTAAATTCGAGGCAACAGATTCTGTGGGAAATCTGCCAGGCTCTGGCCGGCCAAGGAGCGTTCGCACACCGGAAAATATTGCTGTTGTGAAGGAGAGTGTGAGAGACGATCCGAAACAATCAACAACGCGTCGATCCCAAGAATTGGGCATTTCGAGAACCAGTTTGCTCCGCATTCTCCACAAGGATTTGAATATACACGCCTACAAGATCCAATTGACGCAAGAGGTGCGTCGGGCCGACCATTTTTCGCGCCGAACGTTCTCAGATTGGCTCCTTGAACACCGCCAAGTTGATGCCAATTTTTCATCAAAAATGATGTTCAGCGACGAAGCGCATTTCACTTTGAATGGGACGGTAAACAAGCAAAACTGCCGCATCTGGGCGAGCGAAAATCCCCGTGAGTATCAAGAGCAGCCGATGCATCCTCAAAAAGTGACTGTGGTGTGCATTGTGGTCAAAAGGGATCATCGGACCTTACTTTTTCGAAAATGCGGCCGGGGACGCCGTTACCATACCGTACCATAAGATAGAGGACTATTTTTTGCCGCAACTTGAAGGAATGGATATGGACCATGCTTGTTTCCAACAAGACGGTGCAACATGCCACACAACCAACGTCAATATCCATCGATTGCAGTCCTTCTTCGGTGATCGCGTGATTTCGCGCAGAGGAAATGTGTCATGACCACCAAGATCGTGCGATTTGACTCCCTTGGACTTCTTTTTATTGGGATATTTGAAAAGCAAAGTCTACCTCAACAAACCAGCCACCCTCCAAGAACTCAAAAACAACATCATTGCCGAGATAAATGCCATAGAACCGACCATGTTGCAAAATGTCATTGAAAATTTCGACCATCGCGTGGACGTCTGTAAATCCAGTCGTGGTGAACATTTGAGCGATATTATTTTTCATACATAAATGGTATAAATGAACCTTCAAAATAAAGTACCCAACTTGATTTGAATATCAATCTTTCTTGTTTTAATATGCGTTTACTTTCCTGCGTCCGTTTTGGACAACCCCATAGTTTCCGTTGTGCACCCATCTATCAAAACCTTTTTTGAACCCATTAAATGTACACGCGCTGATCATTTCGATGGGCAGCCTTTTCCAGGTGTCGAAAACTCGGTTAGAGAGGAGGAATTGATGTAATTCAGAATTTCTCCTCCACCAACTTGAGGTTGTGGCCTAGCAGGTGACTGATGTTGAGACAGAAAAGTGAAGTTAAGTCAGTGCCGAAGAAACCGTGCAGCGTTCTGGATGTCATAATCAAGTGGCCACGTAGACGTCATCGGAGAAGAGGGTTAGGTTGAATATGTTGAGCATCTTTTCATACCTGGGCCGTTTGTTCCCATACGGGATCCATGTAGCACCTCTGTGTGTTTTCCAATGAGTCTCGATCGCGTTGCAACGTTGGACACCAAACACGTCCGGCAAATGACACGTACAACAGCGCTGCGGTAGATCTTTCACAGCCTTCGATGAGATACAGGCTCCTTTTGGCTTTCGTCGTGGAATAACAAATATGCTCGGACCATGATACATTGTCCGCCAAAAAAACTCCTGAGTCAACTAAGTCAATATGACTGAAGACTGGTTTTCGATTATACAACTGATCCTAGGATTGTTCCTTCCCATATGCAGAGCACCACACCTCTCTAAGTTGAGGGGTAGCTCCTTGCCCACTCATAAATATTGTTGAGGTCACGTTAAAGTATGTTGTCATTGGCAAGTGGTAGTTGTATATCTTTGTGTAATCATAAACTAAATAATGAGCAAACGGAAGATGACACTAGGTAAAGAGGTGACGTGTAAAGAAAACATACCATAGGACCCACGACGTAGCCCTGAGGAACACAGCTAGTAATCGCCCTACTGGCTGACAGTGAATCACCTTCCCTCACCGAGACCTATTTATCACTGAAAAAATTCATTATCTGATTTCAACACGCTTACAGTGATCCCCAAGTGTACCATCTTATGGAGAATGCATGCATGCGAAACTCGATGAAACCCCCTCGAAAAATGCGAATAAACCACATCTTCAGGCACACTGAGATACTTGAGTGATTTAGATGAAACTCGGTTAGTTGGCGGTAGACATCAAGGGACTTCACGTTTATTGTTTATGTCCTACTGAGTTGGCCAGTGGCGGAATCATCAAATTTTAACAGGGTACTTCTTTTTCAATGCAGTCAGGGAACTTTCTCCCGAATAATGAAACTCCGATGATTAAACAGGAATGTGGGAACACCCTAGGAGCTCCGTAGACTAATTCATAATGAGATGAAGAAGACAGCATAACCCACAGCTTTTCCTTCACTGTACAAATGCTGAAGTTATATTTGACTGATTTAAATCTGCGAGAAATATCTCGTATAAAAGTATATTTTTATCACCTGGAAAAAACTACAGCGATCTAGAAACATTTTACACCTTCCAGCTTATTTTGGGATTTTCACATTTGGTTGATTTTTACAGATTGAGGCAAGTGGAAGTTACTATTCGTCTTAAATTACATTCATCTTACGCACAAAGGAACCAGTGGCGGGCTTAGGAAATACTCCGTTAAAATTTGATTGCGCTGCTCCTGGTTCGATGCATTTGCATGCAACCAAGGCAAATGTAGTATCTCAATACCTACCGTAGTTTCACAGATTTCCATCTACATCACTTAAGAAACTAGAAATAGCAATATTAATAGAATTGAGCATCCTGCATCTAAGTCAAGAAAATGTAAAGTACATATAATAGCCTGAAATATAAAAACAGCCGCTTATATAAATAAACCAGATTGAAAAAGATAAAAATCACAGGAAATCAGAAAGTGCATAAAATTAGTAGATAAGATGTTCAATATACACTATTTTAAGCGCATTCCACTGAAAATCTCAAAAATCCGGGATTCTGATACTGAGAGCACTCCACCAATTAGAGTGAAACTTTCATACACCTACCTCCAATTGTCTACCACTTGAAGTAATTTTACAAAAAAGGTGCACGGGTCTGGAAAACATCGAGTGACGGAGTTCGAAAGATTCTTTTTTTAACCACAGCTCTTTTGCCGTAGGATAGATTTTCAGAACCTATAAAGCTTTTTCGTTCTAGGCGTAGTAGTGACCATGCGCAAAAATTTCAATGAAATCCGAATGGTACTTTCCAAGTTATAGAAGGACCAACGATTATGTATCTACAAGTCATATAAAATCCGAAAAAACTTTATATTTAAATTTTTCGCGACTACAATAGTTCTCTACCAATTGCCGTGGGGAGTAAGCATACTCCATGAGAAACTAGTCGGTTACAGTTCTAGACATATCTCTAAATAACAGCGTCCTAGTTTTGGCACTAATTAGTAGTGATAGAGCAGTTTGCAATACCAGTAGATATAAAGCATCCAAAAATAGCTTTATATTATTCCGGACACAAAAACCCAACTTCCAGATTTGCGTGGGATACAGCAAATAACTTCTACTCTAGACATTTTTAACATTCATGAGCGTAGAGCGTTACAACTTTTTTTTGCAGCTACGAAGAGTTTCAGCGTGTTTTCCTGCGAATAAACGTTGGAGGTATGCCAAATAGTTAATCGTTCGACCAGAGAGGTAGCCGAAACACCATCAGATAAGTGGTTAACAAAGCATCTTTTCTATTTCTGGCATATATAGGGCAAAAACCAACTCTACGTCAAATGAATTTCCGATACGACTGGATAGAGTAGCTGACCAGAAAGATTGATTATCTGAAAGAAAAATTAGGTTCATAGGACGAAGATTTTATTGAACGGATTTGCGTATAGGTATAGGCGAAACGGGTTGTTTGACTTGCTTTCTTTTCCCATGACTACAGGGTTGGAGGGAACGAATTACCATAAGATTTCCATTTGTTATGTCATTTCCAGCAAAGTAACCGCAATTATTAAATTAGTTACGCTACACTACTACTACTACAGCTACTACTATTTTAACAGCATTCTTCAAAGCACTGAACCCATAAATGTGGAAAAACATCTGAGCCAGAAACTTGTTTGACGTTGGTCTGTCAAGATTCAATGACCACAATTCAAAGACGTAATTCTCGAGCTGCAATTTAGACCTGATTGAGCTTCTGCCTATATATTTACGTCTCAGCTTGGCACGAAATATTAAATTTTAGTTTTGGAGGACAGGCTTCATTCAATTTTTGTACATCAAAAAAAGTATAAACAAAATGTAGTTTTTGGACACAAAATTTTGACCATTTCAAAGGGATTCTAACCAGCCAGATTGCTAGAACTTCCAACAGCGGAAGTAATTGCAACTTTTTGTCAGCTGAACGAATTCCGAAGGCCTTAGCCTGATTTGGATCGGGCCATACCACCCAACTATATCAATCGTTTCCAATAGCCGGTCAAATGCCCCGATTAACTTAAAAATCAGACACGCAGTTTACCGGGGAATACAAGTCTTTGAATGTACCATCCCTTTTCACCTTGCCAACCGATTCGAACCACATCCTAGAACCCCGATTAGGGTGAGATAGTCTTAACTTCTCTAAGTCTCAAATGAATCTTGAACGCTTTCGAATTTACATTGAATTATTGCGTTTGTTCAACAAACTCTAACCACTCATATAAATAAGATGTCCAGTATTTTAAAATAATACCGTGTTCGTGCATCATATCTTTTGATGACTACACAGGTTTCTAAGGCTCCCAATAAGGTGAAATACTAAATAAGTGATTGCTGTGTTTATTTTATTTATATATTTATTTATTTATATATTTATTTATTTACTAGAATGTACACCATCCATACGGTTTATGGCGCCATTTAACGGATAAGGACACAGGAATTTAAGACATAAAAATCTTCAAAGATAACTTAAAATTATCAAATGACTAAACCTAGTGTTATGTAAAATCTTTTTAAGCTGCGCAAATTACAAAAGAACAAATGAGGAACAGACTTGCAAAATGCATTATGTCCAAATTTTCAATATTTGAGAGAGAGAGGTGGCGCTGCATTCGTATGATGAAATACGTAACTAACTCCTTATGAACATTTGAACAGTCGATATGCATTTAGTGCCCGTGTTATTAAGGGCGAAATAATAACTAGACAAAGAAACTGATTTAAGTCCACTCAGTTTTTTATTGATGGATGGAACATCATGCTGGCAGGGGAGCGACAGAAATATCTTCAGCACTGCTTGATTTTTTGAAAAAGACCAATTTTGCCCCGATTATAGACAACGTTCGCATGCTAATGTTATGGTTATACAGCTTTGCTCCAGAAACGATTAAAAAAATAGAAGGTATCTTCTCAGTGCGAGGACACTCTTAGCTTCCGGCAGATAGAATTTTTGGGAGGGTGGAACAGATTTTAAGATTTCACGCGGTCATAAAAATACCTGCAAAATATTGGGAACTTTACAAACAAGAAGGTGAAATCAGAAAACGTGGAACTGATTGGTCATTGGTGAATATAAAACAAGCTTCAATCTGTTTGAAAAAAGTCCTAGGAATTAGCTCATTTAAACGCATAATCATCAAACGAGGAAAGCCCTCAGGCGTTGTAGTGAAATCTGAATTGTTGTATCGAACGGAAAAATTTCAAACTTTGTTGAAACCTAAAAAGTGGTTAGATCAAATCGAACTTTCCGAAGTATGACTTGGACATGAAATAAAGCAGAAAAAGCTTGATTGACTAAAACACCTACTTGTTACATTGTCTGGTGACGAATGGTATGAAACAGACCCAGAGCTGAATTTTATGGCTGAAATATTTGACAAAACTGCGGCAAACTGTAATGATGAAGAGCACGAAAATGACGAAGAAACTTGAGGATGCGCTGAGAATGATGATAATGAATTTATTTAAAAATAAAATACTAATATTATTATAATACTTACAAATTTTGTTTTGTTTCCTGAGAATGTAGGCAGCAGCGGTGGCCGCAGTAGTAGACTGTTCGGTCTCCTGATCAGTCGCCGTGCGCTGTGCGGGTTCGAGTCCCGTCCCAGGAGAAATTTTTCTCTTGGTTATGGATGTTGTGATTGTCCGTAGGTGGCAGATGGTCTCTGACTGTCGAACGCGGAGGTACCTCCCGGCGGTTCTCGTAGGCGGAGCCAGAATGTGTGCATGTTGCATGCACACGTGTTCCCTCGCCAGAGTCCGTGTGGTGTCCCCCCTTTCCCATGTATCCCCCATAGCCCCACGGTACCCAATGGGTGCTTAGGCCTTAGGCCTTCGTGGTAGTTGGAATATAAAAAAATTAAAAAATGTTTCAATATAAACCTTTTTTTAATGAAACACGATTTTTTTTTTGTTAACTTAACAATGACATTCAAATTGCATTTTTTCCACTAGAGACAATCAAACCGCATTTTATCCAACAATTTTGTTTAATTATTTCAAGCTGTTTTTCGACTTTCTTGTACCAAAACTTGTAATGGAGGTCCATACACTTGATAACATTATATTATCCCAAAAGTTTGTTTTCTCTTATGGTTAGTTTTTCTGTACTAGTTTTTTGCTCCTCCTGAAAATTGGTAAAAATGGACAAAATGCACTTTCCAAGTCTGCTCCTCAAATCTACAACATTTCTTGCACGTTCGTAGCTGTTACATATTACATACCTATATTGGAGAGGAAAGCAGCGGATTGCTTTTAGCTACGTTTAAGTAAAGGTATTTCGGATTGAATCGCGTTTAAGCATTAGGTACATGAATAAGAATCTTACTAAATAAATATTCACAATATATCGCATTATTAAGCAGTTTATATAAAAATAGACAAGCAGCATAGTTTCTGCACTTTTCCAAGTGCAGATGTTATATCCAATGGTTATTTCTGCCAAGTAATACATCATGCCTGAAGCCAACATATGAAGTAACGATAACTTAGAGAGAGCCTCAATAAGTATTTTTATTTTCAGTCACTGCGTGGTGAACTCCGAAGCCAGAATTCCTCATGCCACTTCCCGACCCCACTGGCACGAAAAATAAGATACTGTTTTTTGGATGTTATATTACATGTACATTATGAAAAACCATGTCACTCATCTCTGTCTGTCGGTGTTTCTGTCTGTCAGTGTTTCTGTCTATCTGTCGGTCTGTCTGCTAATCCTTGGCCCGTCTGTAACCCGAAAGGTACCGCTTGTTTTTTCATTAAACTTCCACACAGGGTTAATGATATGCCAAAGACGAGAAATCTTTGTAGTTTTTGAAAATCAGTCCAGTAGCGGCGGAGCTATAGTCAAAGGAAGAGGAAAAATGAATACCACTCAAACTTGTTTGACGTTTCAAAGGCTCCTGATGATTTTCTGAAAAGTTTTGTAGGGTTAAAAAAATGGAGATTTGAGGTTGTAGAGGATCGGGAAGCATACGGCCTAATTTTTTGGCGTTTGTATATTTCAACCTAGAAACCCTTTCCAACCCCAATAAGTGGTGGTCCTAAAAGTTATGTTTAGGGAGACTTTCCCCCTTGTCAAAATGTGTAACCAAGAGCGAAATGGTCGAGTTCATTAATATGAAGATTCAATTTAGATGCTCATACCTGGGTTTTTTCTCAGAGGGGATAACTTGTGCTTTACACAATCCTTTATGAACTGATGACAGTTTTGCGTGAGAAGTGCAGAGTCTTCCTACTTGACGCCATTTTTTCATCACACAGTTCTGCAAATTCTGCCAACGTTTACCAGTCATCTAGGACAGCCGCGGTGTGGTGCAGTGCCTTCTTTAACATCCACAAGAAATCAAGCAATCTGCCAACCCATCAACGGAGTTATAATTAAAGTAATGCTAAACGTCTCCTAATAATAGGCTACGTGTTTTTTACCAGAAAATTATACGTACTAATACTGTATCAATTAGTTTGGACGGTAATGAAACCAGTTACGAGCAGGTGGAATTGTCGGCATCTTAGATCATGAATATTATATTTGACAGACACGAGGTGTTGGGCCTGAATGCTTGCGCTGTTTCGCTATTTTTGCGATGAAGTACCTAGTGTTTCCATATTCTAACCTAGTCTATATGCGTGGATGTTTTGTACTCGATACCTTAAATATATAATCAGGTATAAAATAGTTTTCTTCGTATAGTTATAGTCTGTGAATGTGGATCTTGCCGTATTCAAAGATACGGCGAGGTAACAATGACGACCGCTTAGCTTTGATACTCTCTCCCGCTTCGGTATCAGGCCATATAGTGTTCTGGGTAGATATTCTCGCTATCCTGCCGACGACATACCCAGATGGAGTTCAGAAGTGTCCGAAGCAGAACGTGTTTATCTACCTTGACAGTCAAGCAGCTCTGCAGACGGTTACATCTTTAAGGACAATCTCAATTAAGACCAACACTCTCTCACGCTCTCTCTCTCTTTATCTCGCTCTCTCTCTCTTTCTCTCTCCCTGTCTTTCTCTCTCCCTCTCTTTCTCTCTCCTCTCTCTCGCTCGCTGTCTCTCTCCCTCGCCCTTCCTCTCTCGCTCTGTCTTCTTGTCGCTCTCTGTCTCTGAGTGCGTCTGATATCGAATACCTTTGTGACAATTGAAGAGTGGGTGTGGGTGCGTCTAGGGGCGGCACTACTCCACGATTGAGGTCTAGCACCACCACACAGCATTATTGTATTCGATTTCAATAAAAAAACAAGTTTTTTGCTCAGGGATTTCACCCACGCAACGGTGGCGCCATTATTTAAGTAACCAAATTTTCAAAACAACCCAGTTCGCTGTCAATCTAATAATGTTATCAAAGACACAAAATGTGATCGGAACTTTATAGCTTCTCCTGCTATTCGTTATTTTCTGACAAGTTTGTTATTCTGAAATAGAAAGAAGCAGAAGAAGAAACAACAATGAAGAAAAAGGGAGAACATTTTTTACGTATCTGTGTACTGTGGTTCAGACCCGATGCTGACAGACTGGACAGACATTTACATTTATGTATAGAGAAGAAGAAGATTGCAGTCTTGGAAGTCTAGGGGAAGGTCGGGTCAAAACTACATAGTAAAGAAGAACATTCCCTAGACTCATATCACAAAATATTTGCTTTCCCCCTCTTTTCTCTTCTACTTCCTTCCTTTCTTTCCCCGTTCTTACTTCTCCCTAGACTTTGCCTGGCGTCTGGGCCACCAGACTTGACAGACTGATGGCCGCATCGAGTTTGCATTGACTATAACTTAAAGTCTAAGGTCCTTGGACCACTTTGAAAGTAAAGACAAGTAATAGTAGAAAAAAATCCATTTCTTAATTTGAAGCAGCTATGTTTTTGGAACAACACAAATTACTTAAACCTAAGTATAGAGTGTCCGGCTCTAAATTGACCCCCTCTAACTTTTTTATATGACCTTCTAGAAAAAAAGTTGTATATAAAAGTTATAGCATCTGACATGAAGTTTTTCATGTAATATCTCTTTGTATATCGATTATCTCAGAAAACTTCTACCGAGTGAAGTTGTATTTTTTACATGGAACGCTATGTATATTTTCAGTGGAAATAGTAGTCAATTTTT